CTCTTTACACTAATTAACTTAAAAATATTTTTATTTATTTATTTTTTTTTATTTCAATGAACATCTACAGAGATTTTTACTGGTTTACTTACAGAGTTCATATACATTGGTTTTCCACACCAGATCTTTCCCATTTCCTTTCTCCCCTGTGCTCCTACCCACCTCCCTTGGATCCTCAAAGACGATTTACTAGTTATCTGTTTCTACAAAAATGGTCTTTACAGTATTTGTCCTTATGGGACTGAGTTAGTTCATTTAGCATAGTGCTCTCCAGTGCCTCTCAAGTTAGATAGTGATTTTCAAATTAATTGTTCCTGCATGCTGCATAGTATTCCATCATGTGAACGTACCATAATTTCTCAATCTTTTCGCCCGAAGTTGAACATTTGGGCTGTTCCATGTTTTTGTGATGGTGATGAACACTGGTGTTTAAGTCCAGTTTGTGCCTCAGTTCCAGTGTTCTTGAGTGTATTCCAACCAGTGGAATAGCTGGGTCATATGGAATTTCTATGTTCAGCTGTAGAAACATTGCCTCTAGGGAGCTCTGGTGGCCTCGTGGCAAGAAGCTGTACTGCAATCCCAGAAGTATACAGTTCGAATCCACCAGAGGCTCTGCTGGAGAAGGAGGGGTAATCTCCTCCAGTACCAGTCAGATCTGATTTTACAGTGTACACACACACACACACACACACCAAAATTTTATTTTTTAAAAAAAGAAACACTGCCTTCCAGAGTGGTTATACCATTTTACAATCACTAATAGTATATAAGAGTTGCTATCTTGCCACATCCTCTCCAACATTTATTACTTGCTGTCATGTTAAATTTTACCACTGCTACTGGGATGAGACGGTATCCCATTGTGGTTTTGATTTGCATCTCTCTATTGCCAGTGATTTTGAGCTTTTCTTCATGTGTCTGTTGGCCATCCGTTTATCTTCCTCTGTGAAAATTCTTTCCATGTCTTTTGCTCATTTTGTAATTGTGTTATCAGTCTTTTTCTTGTAGAGGCCCTGTAGGATTCTGTAAACTTCTGATGTGTGACCCTTTTTGGTATTGCTAAATTTTTTTTCCTCAGTCAGTAGATTTTCTTTTTACTCTGTTGGAAAATGTTTTTGACGTGCGCAGGGATTTAATCTTCAGAAGGTCACACTCATCAATTTTATTATCTCTAGATTGTGCATTTCTAGCAGTATTTGGCAGTATCTTTATACCACAGACTAGGCCGTCAAAGCTTGATTCTTGTTTGTCTCTTATAAACTTTATGTTTTTGGGTTTTACTCCCAGGTTTCTGATCCACCATGAGTTGGTTTTTGTGTATGGTATAAGATGTGGATCCTGTTTCTGCTTTCTATAGGTAGCAGTCCAGTTTTGCCAGCACCATTTGCTAACAAGGCTGTCATTTCCTCATTTGATAGGTTTTATTGTCTAATTTCAGTAGATAGTTGATAGTCCATTTCTGGGTTCTTAATTCTGTTCCATTGGTCTCTGTGCCTATGAAGTTGGATTTTCATTCATTCATGGTTGTACAATTTCCTCCCTATCCCTCCAGTTCACTTTTCTCTGTGTCTGTGCCCATCAAATCAGATCCGACTGGCAAAGGAGGAGATTGCCCTACTGGATTGCATCTACTGGATACGACCGTGCGCCTTTGAGATTACAGTGCAGCTTCTTGCCATTAGGCCACCAGAGTTCCCTCACTGATTAATTTTTATGCCCCTCTTCTTCCTTTCTCATCCCTATTAACAATCCAAGATTGATTATGTGTGTACACCTTTCCTTGTTATGTGCCATCGAGTTGAGTACTCTCATAATGACCCTGTGAACAACAGATCCAAATTGTCCTGTCCAGCGCCATCCTTATCATCCCTGACACATTGAGCCCATTGCTCCAGACATTGTATCAATTAATTTTGTTGAGGGTCTTCCTCGCTTTTCAAGGTGTTGACCCTTTCCAGTGAATAGCTTTTCCTAACAACATGTACAAAATATGTGGGGTGAAGCTTCTCCATCTTTGCTTCCAGGTAACCCTGGTTGCGCTTTCTCCATATACAGGATGCTGGCCTATGCCAGGGAGACTTTATTCCCATAACCTGCTTTCTTGTCAGCATCTGGTAACCAGTCTTTGGGTTCTTGGAGAATGTGATTGCAAAGCTGAAATTTAAAGTTGGTAGAAAGGACATTACCAGGAGTAGAGCCTTCAGCTTCATTTGGCATGTGGCATTCATCCTTTTATCACTAACTGATCCACATTCAGCTGCTCTTCACATGGATTCATTTACCACTTCAAAGTTCTTAATTGACTTTTATTTGTTCTCACTCCCAAGAACTTTATTTGTAGCAGGTCATTCTGAGCCTGGGTGCTCAAAATGGCATCTGTTGGAGATAAGATCTAGACAGTCAGGCAGCAGTCCTGTCCTCTTGCCTTTGAACGTTAACTGTTGGGCATGACTTTATGTGAGATTGCTTGTTTTTCCTTTTTCTATTTCTCCTTTTTTTAAAATTGAAATTTATTATTAATTTCAGTAAAAATTTACAGAGGCTTTGGATTTCCATTCATTCATTGTTGCATTTCTCTTCCCTCCCAACCCTCCCCCCTAGTACACTACCCTCTTGGAAAAGAGACAAATTCTTTCATTGTTTTACAAACCTCCCCCAGGTCTACTCCACCATGTAGCCTTTGCTCTAGACTCCTGTCATGACAAAAATACCTAATCACATATCCCTTTTAAACAGTTTTCTCCCTCATCTGTTTCAATGCAGTATACACTATTAAACCCATCTTTCTCAGTCTCTCCCTAACCCCGAGGTCAGTCCTGTTTTACAACAGTGGCACCATGCACTATTTATCCTTTTGTGACTGAGATACTTCACTCAGTATAATGTCCTCCAGGGGCACCCATTTTGAGTAATATTGCATGAGTTCCTTGTTTTTCAGTGCAGCATAGTATTCCATTGTGTGAATATACCACAGCTTCTCTATCCATTCGTTTGTTGATGGACACTTAGGTTGTTTCCAACTCCTTGCTATTGTGAACAAAGCCGCAGTAAACATGGGTGTGCATATATCTGCTTAGATGTCAGTTTTGGTCTCTTCGGGGTATATTCCCAGTAGTGGAATTGCTGGGTCAAATGGTGTCTCTATTTGTAACTTTTTGAGAAAGCGCCATACTACCTTCCACAGTGTTTGCACCATTTTACACTCCCACCAACAGTGAATAAGGGTTCCAGTTTCTCCACAACCTCGCCAGCATTTGTTGCTTGCTGTTCTGTTAAATTTTGCTATTCTGACTGGGATGAGATGATATCTCATAGTTGTTTTGATTTGCATCTCTCTTAGAGCTAGGGATTTTGAACGTTTCTTCATGTGCTTGTTAGCTATCTAAATGTCTTCTTTGGTGAAGTGTCTGTTCATATCCTGTGCCCATTTTTCTATTGGATTATTTACCTTTATCTTGTGGTGCTCAAGTATTTTATAAATTCTGGATATAAGTTCCTTATCTGATCTGTCATTACCAAATACTTTTTCCCAGTCTGTGGCTTCCCTTTTTACCTTGTTGGAGAAGTGTTTGGATATGCATAGGGATTTGATTCTTAGAAGATTCCATTCATCTACTTTATCTTCTGGTTGCAGGTCTCCCTTTTTTTAATTGTGATTTTAATGAAAGTTTACAGAAAATTTGGATTTTCATTCATCGTTGCACATTTTTCTCCTTACCACCAAGTTTACTTTTCTCTTTAAAAAAATTCATTCATTGTTGCAAAATGTCCTCCCTCACCCCCCAGTCAACTTTTTTTTGCCTGTGAGTATTTTTCTCTCTCTTTTTTTTTTTGGAATTCCATTCATTCATTGTTGCACACTTCTCCCTGCACATCCCCCTCCCCCTCCCCCCCAGTCAACTTTTTATTCTGGACTGTTGTCATGTAGATAATGCCTAATTATATATTCCTTTTAAACAATTCTTTTTCTCACCTGTTCCAATGCAGTGTTCATTACTTACCCCCTCTTTTCTTAGTTTCCCCCCAATCCCCAATGTCAGTCCTGTTTTATAGCAGTGGTATTATGCATTATTTGTCCTTTTGTGACTGAGATACATCACTCAGCATAATGTCCTCCAGGGTCACCTATTTTGTATAATATTTTATGAATTCCTTGTTGTTAAGTGTTGCATAGTATTCCCTTGTGTGACTATATCACAGCTTCTCTATCCATTCATTTGGTGATGGGCATTTGGGTTGCTTCCATCTCTTTGCTCTTGTGTACAAAACAGCAATAAACATGTGTGTGTGTGTGTCACTTGTTGTTTCTTTAGGGTATTTTCCCAGTAGTACAACTGCTGGATCAAATGGTATTTCTATTTTCAACTTTTTGAGAAAGCGCCAGAGTGATTGCACCATTTTATGTTCCCACCAGCAGTCAGTAAGGGTTCCAATTTCTCCACAACTTCCTCAGCATTTGTTATTTGCTACTCTGTTGAACTTTGCTGTTGTGACTGGGGTGAGATGATACTTCATAGTTTTTATGTTTTCCTTTTCAGAGCTAGCTGCTGACTCCCATCACCTCATCTTACTGTGCTTATCAGCCAACACCTTTCCTCAGGTCGGATGACCATCAGGATTAAGTACCATAATCTGGTATTTAGTTTGTTCTGCAGCACCAGTTTTACTTACCAGAAGTGACCTGAATTTCATCCAGCAACTTGGACTTTTTACTTCTGTAAATTTTGAGAACAATTTCATTTCAGTCTCAATACCAATATTAATTTGATTTACCAGATTAGACTGAGTGTTTACAAAAGTTCCACTTATTCTGAGGAAAACTTTGAGGAAACCTCAAACTAGATGAGGGAGGTCTGTCTGGTGGCCTAGTGGTAGGAGCTGTACTGCCAACCCGAAGGCAAACAGTTCAGATTACCAACTTTCTCCACAGGGTAATCTCCTGCACGATTAGCAGTACTTGATATTCTGATGTACTATTTTTTCTATTTTGTTTTATACAGGTGTTGTTATAACCAGAATTTGACAAAGAAAAGATCTACTTATTAGAACTCTTTTGACATAGAGATGTGGGGGGATTCTCGGTCTAATAATAGATCAGGACCATTTCGGTAAGTTTCAAAATGTCATTGTTTAAATTGTCAATGTTTTTGTGATAGAGACAATGTAAAAATTTTGACCTAATGTAAAGGGAGATATTTTCTTTGTGCAGAAAATTCTCTTAAGTTTTAAAAAAATAATATAAAAGTTTCAATTATTTTGAAATAATTAAGTAATTATTATGAAATAATAACCAGCATGAGAAGTGTTTTGGGTTGTAAATATTTAAAAAAATCACTAAATATTTACCACTTGTTAGCAAAGTAATATATATTTAACTAGTGAAGAAAATTAGCAAAAATCTACTTTTTTGTTTATAGATGTTTCATTAAGTTCACTAATTTTATCTGGAATTTAGAACTCTGGCTTGCCCATGACAAGTTGTTAAACCATAACTACCACAAGTCGTTCTGAGAAGGGAAAATTATTTGATGCAATGTTTAAAACTGTATTTCAATCTTAAAGTTTCTGAATATGAAGATAACTGAAGTGTGCTAACATTAATTTGTAAATAAATTGGTGTTTTAGATTTATAGGAAGTTAGCTTTTTCCTAGGGAGTTAATTTATAACACTGATGATGATAATGGGTTTCACATGTAATTAAATGCTGTTAGTGATTTCTTACATAGTTGGTGTTAAGAAATCTGACTTGGGGAGCTCTGGTGGCCTAGTGGCAAGAAGCTGCAACTACAATCCCAGAGGTGCACTTTCGAATCCACCAGATGCTCTGCTTTGGAAGGAGGGGCAATCTCCTCCTGTACCAGTCAGATCTGATTTGATGGTACATGCACACAAAAATAATAAAATAAAAAAAAGAAAAGAAAAGAAATCTGACTTAAGGTTAGGCATTTAAAGGTATTGTTACAGTTAATACTTATTAGTAACATTTACATTTGAATTTACATTCTCTAAGATTTTATTGTGTAAATTCAACAGATTTTCTCATTCACTTAGGTTTAGAAAATCCACATTACGTTTTGTAAAGCAAGTATTTTATGACTGCTAAATAATAGGGACCATCTGTTTAGCTGTGATAGTGATGTTCAGCAGTTTTTCGTTTTAATACTAAGGTCTGGATCATTGGTAAGCAAACTGTGACCTATAACCTGTTTTTATAAATTAAGTTTTATTGGAACACAGCCATATTCATTTACTAATTTTCTATGGTTACTTTTACGCTTCAGTGGTAGAGTTGTATAGTTGTTACAGAGATTGTATAATTTGTAAAGCCTGATTGCTTTGTATAATTTGTAAAGCCTGATTGCTGAATATTTACAAACTATTTATAGAATAGTTTGGTATCCCTTAGTGTATTCCTTAGTGTAGGCTATACTTTAACATTTTTATTATAATCTGGCCTTTTATTACTTATGAACAATTATGTAATAAGGCTATCTTTATAGAATTAACTTGTGATGGTTTAAGTCAGCATTCTTAAACTAGGTAAATTTAGCTGTGTTGTTAAACATTTTTTCTATCTTAAGAATGTTTTCTTTGATCTCATTATTTAAAATTCTGAGGAAGCTCTGATGGCCTTGTGGCAAAGAACCTGCACTGTAATCCCGAAGGTGCACTGTTCGAATCCATCAAATGCTCTGTTGGAGAAGGAGGGGCAAACTCCTCCTGTGCCAGTCAGACCCAATTTGACGGTACACAAAAAAGAAAAATAAATAAAAATTTTTTAAAAATTCTGTTTTCTCACCTTAATTTTACTTTAACTTTGCCATCACATTCCATTTTTATTTATTTTTTTTTTAGTTGTTGTGTGCTGTCAAATCAGATCTGACTGGCACAAGAGGAGCTTCTTGCCACTAGGCCATCAGAGCTCCACACATTCCATTTTTAAAAGACCTTTGAGCAGACACTTTTACAACATACCTTTCTTTTAAACTAATTTGGCCAGAAATATATCTTGTAAGAAAATTCTTTGTATTTTCTTTGAGTGACTTCCTATCTTAAATGTTTTTCTTTGACTGAAGAGAACTTTTATAGATACTACTAATTTGTATTAATAGATATTTTTTAATCAACTCTAAAAATCAACCTCTTGAATTGACTCATAGCTTTTGGGAGGAGAATATCCATCATTCTCCTACAGAGCCACTGATGGATTCGAACCACGAGAGAACTTTCACCTTTATTAACAGTGCAACTCCCTAAGGACTAGGCCACTAGAGTTGCCTGTTTGTTTTATAGGCTGTATAAAGTACAGTCCCAAGGAAAATCTAGTCCCAAGAACCCCAGTCAGTTTGTTTTGTTTCAGTTTAGGAGGATAAAATAACCTGGAGGGCTCTATTCTAAGGCAGTATTGGATATAATCTGGTCAGAAAAGACATACATGCAGATTTAGATACCTAAGCACTCAACCTTTTTGCCTGCTGAGGTTTAAGTCTTCCTTCCCAAAAGCTAACTGGGATTTGAATGATCTAATTGTGTTACTTAGGAATAGCATTGAAGCTGACTCCTTATATAATAATGCACAGACAAAACTGTTAGTAAGAGCCAATGGAAGTCAGCATATTCTGAAAATTTACTAATTTCCACTATTTTAGTGTTAAGCTAATGTTACAGTGCCATTTTAATGATTCTGAGTGACCCAGAATCCTTTAATTCTGTGCTGGTGTAAGCTGAGTTCAAAAGGGTCATGTCATAAAACTGGTGTGTTCTGGGAGTACAGAACTTCTTTCTTGGTTAGACTTGATCTCTTATTTTATTTTACTGCTAAGTAGCAGATAGACCTTGTATCTAAACTTCCTAATTTCCTAACAAAGCAAAATATTAAAGTGGTCTTGAGGCTAGGTGATGGAAAGAAGCGAGGTAATGTGAAAGATAGGCGGTGTCTTATTAATCTTGCATCCTATAAACTGTTAAATGTGAATTTAATACATACTCTGGTTATTTTTAAGTATGTTTTTTTACCATAAAAATTAGCATATGACATTAGAGCCTGAAGTACCAGCTGTTTCATTTGGGACATGGGAATAATGCTTGAAGCCCTAATGCTTTCTCCAGATCCCTTTCACCATTGAGTTCATAGATGCTGCTGCTTGGTTTAGATGGTTCACACATGCTTCCATGCTTCCTCAGTGACACCTTTGGGTAGTTCTAAGAAAAGGACCCAGTTGATAGTGGTTCTCGGTACAGCCACTGTAGAACTGAGATTTAGATGCAGCTAAGGCTGATGCTCAGCTGATAAGAAATGGCATGTTCCTATTGCTGATTTACAGCCCAAGTTTCTTTGTTTTGAGCCTGCATCCATGGTAAATGATGTCCATGCTGTGGATGTAAGCAGATATTTTTTAATGTCACCCTTGGATGCAGTCATGAGTACAGCACCTTTTGACACTTATTGTAAGAAATTTACAGTTCATTGATTTTTCTGATGTTTAGGAATCATCATGTTGACCTTGGAATTCAAAGTTCCCTGACTGTAGGAAATGAAACTTTTTGTAGTGTGTCACCATTGCTAGCTTATCTGGTGTTGCGGATTTTCCCTGTTGCAGGACTGGGTGAAAGCTTTTTCTGCAGCAGTCATGTTGAAAACCTTGTGTTGACTTTCCTCGTGTTCTGAAATGGGAGCATAAAAGTTTACTCCACCACTTCGTCTTAAAATAGCAAAACATTGCTGTTTTCTGCAGATCTAGGACCTTGTTAAAGAACTCTGCAAAAAAAAAAATATTTACAGAAGAATGTACTGTGATTAGAGAAGAATATGCTGGTGTGTAGATTTCAAACTCTCTGGACAATATGAGTAACACTGTCTTTGTTTCTACAGTGGGAGCCAAGAAGAAAGGTTTGCTCCCGGGTGGAACAGGGATTATCCTCCTCCTCCCCTTAAGAGTCATGGTCAAGAGAGACACTCTGGCAACTTTCCTGGCAGAGATTCACTCCCCTTTGATTTCCAGGGGCATTCGGGGCCTCCCTTTGCAAATATAGAGGAACATTCTTTCAGCTATGGAGCTAGAGATGGACCACATGGTGACTATCGAGGAGGGGAGGGACCTGGACATGATTTTCGGGGGGGAGATTTTTCATCTTCTGATTTCCAGAGCAGGGATTCATCGCAGTTGGACTTCAGGGGTAGGGACATACATGCTGGGGATTTTCGGGATAGAGAAGGACCACCTGTGGACTATAGGGGTGGAGATAGTACCTCTATGGATTATAGAAGTAGGGAGTCATCTCACATGAGCTACAGGGACAGGGATGCTCATACTGTTGACTTCAGAGGTAGGGATGCTCCTCCTTCTGACTTCAGGGGTCGAGGTGCTTATGATTTAGATTTTAGAGGCCGAGATGGATCCCATGCAGATTTTAGGGGAAGAGATTTATCAGATTTGGATTTCAGGGGCAGAGATCAATCTCGCTCAGATTATAGGAGTAGAGATTTATCTGATTTGGACTTCAGAGACAAAGAAGGAACCCACATGGACTTTAGAAGCCGAGGTTCAGGTAATTCTGATCTAGACTTTAGGGACAGGGACAACTCACGTTCAGATTTCAGAGGTAGACACCGGCCTAGGACTGATCAGGATTTTAGGGGCAGAGAGATGGGACCTTGTATGGACTATAAAGATAGGGACATGCCCCGTATGGATCCAAATATTTTGGATTACATTCAGCCCTCTACACAAGAGAGAGAGCATTCTGGTATGAGTATAAACAAGAGAGAAGAATCCACACATGACCATGCAATAGAAAGGTCTGCTTATGGCATTCATAAGGGAGAGTTTGAGCATTCAGAAACGAGAGAAGGAGAAGCACAAGGTTCAGCCTTTGAACATGAGTTGCCATCAGACTTTCCGAACAGACAAAGCCCACTTCAAGATCAAGACTCACTGCTTTCTGGAGGTGAACAACGGCATTCAGATGCTAGTCTGTTTAAAGAAGAAGTTGGTTTGGACTTTCTTGGCCGAGAAGACACTGATTACAGAAGCATGGATTACTGTGATGTGGATCATAGACTGCCAGGAAGCCAGATGTATGGCTATGGCCCCCACAAATCTTTTCCAGAGGGCAAAAGCACTCGGGATGCCCATCGGGACCTTCAGGTATGTTTATGGGATTAATTACCTTTACCTTTTTATAAGGATTTTCTGAAGGAGAAAGTGTAGAATCCAGGGCCTTTAGTCCTTAGTCTCTTTGTGAAACTATTAAAAAGCAAAATTTAGTTCAGGAGATACTTTTTTTTTTACCTTGAGTCTGCTGTCTGTCTGTCTGTCTGTCTGTCTGTCTGTCTATTTTATTTGCAGCTCTATGCTGTTGTTGGTTTTGTTTGTTCTTTCTTGTGTTTGGTGAAGGTTTGCGTAGCAGTTCAGGGTCTCATTCAACAGTTTCTACACAGCTTGTTAATTCCATTGATACTTTCTTCACAATGAAGGAACATTGTCATCATTTCCATTCTAATTGTTTCATTTCCATTCATCTAGTCTTCCAGCCCCCTAATGGTCTCATTTTTATTGTAAAATAGTTAATTTTTAAAAATTTTATTATTTTTGTGTGTGTACCCTCAAATCAGATCTGTCTGGTACAGGAGGAGATTTTCCCTCCTTCTCCACCAGAGCATCTGGTGGATTTCAACTGTGCCCCTCTGGGATTGCAGTGCAGCTTTCTGCCACTAGGCCACCAGAGCCCCCTTTTTGTAACATAATTAATGATTTTTTTTGTATCATAGGTGATTTTTAAAAGGAAATACAGTGTTTAGGGGTAATACTATTTTTGAACCTTTCTTAATTTACCTTCAGGGTGACCTTAGAGGTTAGTTTAGCTCAAAGTTTGTAGAATATCTGAGGACAGAAGTGTTAATCAGTCTAGTAGATCTGGCTTCTTTCTTTTTTTTTTTTTAAAAAAAAGAAATTTAAGAGTCTGTCCCACATTTTTCCCCCATTCTAGAATAATGGTTACCCATTGGTGGACAATGTTTGGTGGGGCTCTCACGAAGCCGGAGTGGCATCTACTTCCTAAACAATATGCCGCTAGAAACTATGAACGTAGAGAAATAACAATAGTTATAGAACAGGGTTCAAGTCTTTTGTTCATAGTGTTGCTGTGAGCTGTGCTTGACAACTTGATGGCAATCAACATCATCAAAGATTCTCTTCCAAATACATTTTTTTTCCTTTCAAAAACTTTTCTAAAAGTCTGAGAACCAAGTCCTAGGTATTATCTGGCCTGTGTGTTTTAAATAGTGAGTAGAGTGCCACAGATCTATGAAATCCTGTCAGATTAAACTTTGAAAACTGGAACCTGTGAAATAATGGAAGCCTATCAGAGAAGGAGAAAAATATTTCTGCCTAAAAGGAGAGATTAAAAAGTGATAAGATTGCACTTGTTGAAGTGGGAAACTTGTGAAACCTGCAATAACAAGGTAGTCCTCTTGAGTTACAGCTCTAAAAGAATTCATTGTGGATGCAAACTTTTCTTTCTGAAAATGTTTCTCTGGGATAAGTTCTAGGGCTTTTATCAGATTTAAAAAATTAATTATGTAGAAAAATCTGATCTAATTTGGTGCTGTTGTGTACAGGTTAGAATGAAGGCCTTGAAGTGAGAAAGAATTGTTCAGAGTCACTAGACTGCAAAACAGTCTAGAGTCCATCTAATATGATTCAGATAAGAATGGTTGACAGTAGTAGTGGGTGGTAGGCACTTTTTGTTTTTCTGGTCTCATGGTAGAATGGATCATGTAGAATATATAGTTCTTCTAGGCTAATTTCTTATTTTGAGTCTTTAGTTTCCTTTTATTCTTTTACATGCATGTGTGTGTATTATATGACACAGTGTCGGCAATTGTTGACTCAGACATAGCCATGATTGAGGATGCCACAGAATGATGGCATTGTTTTGTTCTGTTGTTCAAAACTCACAGGGTTTCTGTGATTTGAAACCAACTTTATTGCACCTACAGCAACAACCCATACACATACACATACTTTTTCTTCCCTTCTGTCATGCTGATTTATTTTAAAAGTATCTGTCTGGGAGTTGGTTCTCAAAACTTGTGCATAGTCAGGTCTTATAGCTGTTTAAGATTCAGTTTCTTTAAATTTACTTAACTTTTGTAAATGTGAAATGCAGATTTATCTGAAGGTTATGCTGTTTTGCCTCCTATTCTTGAGAATTTTTGTATGCTTATATCATGCTCTTTAAACATTTTTTAATACCTGTAGACCTAGAAACTTTTTCGGAGGCATGAGATCTTATTTTAACAAGTGTCCTCTTATAGCTAATTTAATTGAATTAATGCTAAATTTCTTGAATATATATAATCAAAGCAGGGATGATTTTGCTTATACATTGGACAATGAAAATATTATCTTTTAAAGTGTATTTTACCCATTTCTACTCAAGTTTCTGATATTTTATATAGTGATATTAAGTCAGGCTATGTAAAATGAGGTGCTTTGAGAGTATTCAGGTTGGATGATTTGTAATTTATTGTCCAAATTGGGATTATTTTAAGAATGGAGAGGATGCTATTAATAATTATTCCAGGACAGTAGACATACGTGGGATTTAGGATATTTTCATAACTTTTGAAATAGACGATTCTTTGTAAATATGAAAATCTAGATTTTTCAGAATTACTCTGTTTATAGTTTAGACTAATAACACTGAGTTTGTGCTGAAATGTGTTTATAGATGGTATCGTTGATAAATGATATCTGGCTTAATTTTTTATTTACTATTTGCCTACTCAGCGAGGGAAATGAATAGTCTCAGACAAATATCTTTCAGTTTAAGTGTGATTTGGAGAATATATTAGCGAAGTGAGTTTTGTGGTATTTTTTGGGTATTTTTTTTTGTTATAAATGTGTTATTCAATGCTGCTTCTCGTAACATTCTTTGCTATTTCTAGATTTCCTTGGTGAGCTTTGATCATGGTTGTATTCTGATGAGTTGAAAGAAAATGTACAACTCAAAACAAAGCTGTTTTTCATGTCTTTATATGATACAGCCATTTTCATTTGTGATCCTGAGTATCTTAGACCATGTTGAGTTTCATTTTTGTACTAAATTAATATTTGATCATGAAATTATTTTTGTTTTGAATTCAAGGATCAAGATTACAGGACTGGCCCAAGTGAAGAGAAACCAAGCAGGCTTATTCAGTTAAATGGGGTACCTGAAAATGCCACAAAGGAAGAGGTGAGGTACTTTATTGGGATCAACTTTTTTCTGTTAACTTTTTAAAAAAATATTTTTGTAACATACAGGATTATACAAAGAAATGTATAAGGAAGTCTTGTGTATCTTTTTACCCAGCCTCCAAAAATGTTAACATCTTACCATAGTACAGTATCTTAACTAGGAAATTGATACTGGTACAATTCATAGAGCTTATTCCATTTTTACCAGTCCATACTCATTGAGGTGAGATTTATATATTAAAGACATTAAGACGAATGATGACTGCCCTTCGATCTCATAATCACACTTGAGAGATGCAGATTATGTGCCTTTGGGTTGGCAGGGGAGTTCCTTACCACTAACCCATCATAGCTCTTGTTAAAACACTCTGACCAATTCTTTCTGTAAGCTCAGCAATAATTTAACCATTTCTTTGAACATTAGGCAGTTAGGGAGCTCCCAGTTTTTATTAATGCAAATTCCATCTTCACACATGCATAGATCTAAGGACAGTTACATAGAATGAAAACCAGAAGGGAATATAATATTCAGAATTTGCCTGAGATTTACATTATTAGCATAAACATTTTTTTTCTTGCAGATTCTTAATGCTTTTCGGACTCCTGATGGTTTGCCTGTAAAGGACTTGCAGCTGAGGGAGTATTCTACAGGTGAGATTCTTCATGTGCACATAGCCTTGGGTGTAGGATGGGTCCGTCAGATCTGTTCAGCATGGGCTGCCTATAATTCTTAAAGGAACCATAATTAAGATTTCCAGAAGCTTCCTGGTACCTTCAACTAACAGCCAGCCTTAGGCTTAGCTGTGGTTCTTTCTGGATGTTAATCCACACATGAGCACTGAGCACTGAGGATGCATGCTTGAGTTATCCCGAGTGCCTGAGAGCTATGAAGTAAGTGTTGCAGCATTTGTCCCTGAATATACTTTATATCATTAAGTCATTGAACTTGATCTTTATATTCTTCATGATGGAACATGTTTAACCCTGTTCACAAGAGGATCTAATGAATCTGGTGGTTTGTAGTGTGGTTTTTTTCCTCCCCCTTTCTTTGCTTTAAAATGAAATTGATAATTTCCCAGAGAAAATGAGCAAATTAATGGTTTCTTGAATTCTCAACTTTATTCAGAGAATGAATTCGTACTGTAGCTATTTTGTTGAAATCCAAGAACAAATTCAGAAAACTTTTCTCTTTGATCTGTTCTGTGGTCTGAAATCACAGGTCACACTTTTCAGAATGTTGTAGTATTTCAGAGTATCATGTTCAGGTAATACCTTCAAATCTTACTATAGAAAAATGTAGTGGAAAGTAAAATGTCAAGTACTTATGATTTTGAATTTCAATATAATTGATTTTAAGATATCTTCAATTAAGAGTCTCACTATATACTTATAAACAGTTTATGAAATAGCATTTTTGCTTTAACATATAGCTTCTCGTTCATATTGGTTCTGCAGAGGGAAATTATCTGCAAAAATATATTTGTGTCCTTGAGAGAAGCTGGTTTTTATTTTAAGCACACATAAATTCAGAAGCTATTATTTCTCATATAATTATTTCTATGTTTAAAGCATCAACTCTGAATTTGTAGAAATATGACTAAGCTCGGTTACAGCATTACTCTTGTGTACCTCACTACTGTTGGTTACTTTCTTGGGAGTAGTATTCTGCCCTTCCCTCTTCTCCATACTGGAAACCAGAAGTATCATAATAGACGACTTTGGCAGGGGACAGAAGAGATGGGTGAAACATGTTTCACACACAGGCTTTCTTGATTATATTCTTACCTTGGGAAATTAAAGATAAAATTTATAGGTGAAAGTTGTATTTTTACACAAAGAATTAGCTTCATCGTTGAGCTTATTTCATGAACTGGGATTTCACAGGGGTCCCCCCTCCCCCCTCTTGATAGATTTAGGAAAAGAAGAGAAGTCTTGATGTGTTCAAATGGCAGCAATTTATCTTAAACTGTTTTTGATTCTTTTAAGAACTGAGTGGATTGAGTTTCAGTTTGTATTGTCAGATTTGTCATCAGAATAAAAAAACAAAATATGTTTATGTATAGGATTCAGAGAGGAAGTTTTTAAATTTGGTGATTATGGTGGCTTTTTGAATTATAATTAGAAGGCCAAAGACATCTGTACATTTGTGAAAACATTCAGAAGAGAAGTTAAAAAACCCAAACTAAACCCTACCTAACTATACCTTTTAGGTCTCTTTTTCTGGCATTTTAAGAAGTGCTGCCTTTTTTACTACAAAATAATAGTGTATTTAAAATATATAGAGTCATTTTTAAATTTCATTTTTAATAAAATTAATTACCAGCCCCATGTTATCTATTATATCACTGTGCGGCAAGCAGAATGAACCTTTTTTCAGTTGTAGTTTTTAAATTATTTTTTTTCCTGTTTCACAGTTTATTTAACAGCAGGTAATAAGTAAATTGTTCTTTTTATTAATGATTTTTTAAATGCAGCATACATAATTTTTTACAACATATTCTTTCCATTTATTTCCCCCATTCATTCATTGTTGCACATTTTCTCCCTGCCAACCCCTCCCCCTAGTTTGTTTTTCTCTTTGAAAAGGAAAAAAATTCTTTCATTTTATATAGTCCCCCCCCAAGTCTACAGTCAACTATGCATTTCTTTTTCTATAATCTTGTCATGAAAATAGTACTCAAACCTATATTCCTTTTAAACAGTTCTCTCCCTGATGTGTTTCAATGCAGTATACATTATTTATTCCCTCTTTTCTTAGGTTCTCCCCAACTGTGATGTCAGTCCCATTTTACAACAATGGCACTATACAGAATTTGTCCTTTTGTAACTGAGATATTTCACTCAACATAATGTTCTCCAGGGTCACCCATTTTGTATAATACCTTATGAGTTCTTTGTTTATCAATGCCGCATAGTATTCCATTGTATGAATATACCACAGCTTCTCTATCCATTCGTTTGTTGATGGGCATTTGGTCATATATCTGCTTGGGTGGCAGTTATAGTTTCTTTAGGGTATATTCCCAGTAGTGGAAGTGCTGGATCAAATGGTATTTCTGTTTACAACTTTTTGAGAAAGTGCCATACTGCCTTCCATAGTGGTTACACCATTTTACACTCCCACCAACAGTGAATAAGGGTTCCAGTTTCTCCACAACCTCGCCAGCATTTGCTGTTTGGTGCTCTGTTGAATTTTGCTATTCTTACTGGAGTAAGATGATATCTCATAGTTGTTTTGTTACATAACTTTGAAAATAATTGTCAGATCATGTTAGTTCCATGCCTAAAATACTCTTCACAGCCTTTAAATACCACTTAGACAAAAATCTAAATTCCTTGTTGTGATTTACAAAGCCCTGTGTAAGCTGTCCCTTGCCTGTTTGATCTCATCCCATACTGTTTTACCTATTACTGCTTTTGCCAGACTGAGACTTTTTTAATCAAGACAAATGTCTTTGGATTTTTGCACTGGCTCTTTCCTCTGAGCCTTACTTAGGAGATTTTGCTCCTGACTTTATTTTCACCTCTCTGAGGCCTTGCCTCACAATTGAATCTAAAATAACCCCCTCATCCATTTTTCTTCTTACCTATCTTCTCATTGTAGAATCTGTCACTCATTTATTTTTTTCTCCATGGTTGTGTATATCTTATTCCTCTTATTAAAGAATTGGCACCATGATAGCAGGAAACTTATCTGTCTTGTTCCCTGCTGTTTTCCTATGCCTGTTGTTTTTCCTGGCACTTGGTAGGTACCTAGTATGCATGAAATGTATGTCTGTGATGTATGCATGGAGCAGTGATGATCTCTTCTCAGGTGAGCAATGTTAGGTTTTACCACAGGGTATTTCAAGTCATAAATACATGCTGAATACTATACCTTGGAACAACCAGATGTAATGAGAACTTTAGCATTTCCTTTTTTCAAAGGATTGGTATGAATTTCAGTGGAAAAGGTGAAACTATTAGAAATGAAATTGTCATTTATATTTTAGGTGTGATGATGACTATAAAAAGTCTGCAGGGTGTACACAACCTGTGAGGCTGGAGATTTTAGGGTAAAAAACATCCTTTCAGTTGATGTAATAGCTCATCTGTTACAGGAAAAATTAATGCTTATTTACTAATGCTTAAGAATCAATTAATATTTAAGTCCTATGTGTCAGTTTATGAAATGTTCTAGAAGTTAATAATTTAGAAAGCACATCATATATGATTTAATTTCCCAAGAGAAATACATACTTGGACTAGAAATACTTACACAGAAGAATATCTGCCCACTTCTATGAAGAAGATTCAATAAAGTTTAAAGAGACTGTGTTTAGGGTAAGACATTCTTCCAGATGACTTCATTGCACGTGTACCAAAAAATTTTAGATTTTTAAGTTGCACATAAGGAATTGTAAACCTGCTTATGTTCTGTATATTTGAGTTTTTATTGGTTATTTACAGAGATAATGCCAGTAATTCTCACTAGTTACATAGAATTTTGTATTATGGGATTTTACTCCTGGACTATAATCAGGAGTAAAATATATTTTGGTTAATGGATAAACTATGGTATACAATGGATAACTTCTCAGCATTAAAATTGAAGAAACTACTCATGAGTGAAACAACGTGGATAAATGTAAAAAACATTGTACTAAGTGAAAATAAAGCAAAAAAAAAGTTTAAATGATTCTATGCTCCAAGGAAAAGAGTGAAGTACTGATACGTATTTCATCATGAATTTTACAGGCAATATGCTGAGTGATAGAAGCCAGACACAAAAGACCACATATTGTGTTACTCCATTTTTGTGAAATAGCCACCATAAGCATACCCATAGAGACTGGAAGAAGATGAGTGATTGTCAGGGACTAGATGAGGGTGAGAATGGAGAATAACAGCTTAATGGGTTTACGGCTTCCTTTTAGAGTGAAAGAGTTCTGCAACTAGAGAGTGGGGATGGCTGCACAACATTGTAAACATACTAGAGGTCATTGAACAGTGAATTTTACTGTATGATTCAATTTATATGGCATTCTGGAAAAGGTGCATTTGTAGAGATAGAAAACAGTGTTTGCCAGAGTGTTGGGGAAAACAGTGTTTGCCAGAGTGTTGGGGAAGAGATTGACTATAAAGTGGCAGCGTGCGAGTATTTGGGGGGTAGTGGAACTTTTCTATCTTGGTTGTAGTAGTGGTATATCAATCAGTGTTTCACTGATGTTGTTAACTACTGGGTTTATATATGAGAACATCTTTATTCTTAGGTGGAGTACACAGTGAAGTTTTTAAGAGTAAAGGACCATGAAATATATAGCTTTCTCTTAAATGACTTAAGGGAAAAAATAATACATAAGGATAAAGGATTAAGAGCTTAATGATAAAGCAGATGGGGTGAAATGTTAGCAACAGGTAAAAGTGAGTAAGGATATGCGTGTTTCTTGTACTACTATCCTTGAAACTTTTTGGAACTTTGAAATTATTTCCAATAAAATGAACAACCAATAAAACCTTGAGATATTTTATTAAACAGTCAAGCAGAAACCTTGAAAATTGAAGACCACAGTGAATAGCTTCTGTTAGCTTATACTCCGTATAGCATTGGTGTTGAAGTATATTCTGGACCAGTAGCATCATTACCATTTGGGAATTTGTTAGAAATTGCA